TAATCCACTGGCCATTCAATTGCCAAGGACCATTATATCTAATATGAGTAAAATCACTTTCATACAGAAAACGAAGACGAAATTTGCCTCATTGAAAATGGGCAATGAGCAACCTATTGGGACTTAGATTCTAGAGATTATGGAGACCTTGTTCTAACTTAATGAACTAGTCAATTAAACGATGAAAAAGTCACCAGATAAAGGAAAACTGCCATTGCTCATGAAGATTAAGGGGAATATGAGGCTATATGTTTACACTTCTATTCTTGCTTGATTGTCACCATGCACCATATTTTGAAAAGCCTCATTAAGAGCATTGAGGTCATCCATGGAAAAGGAATAGGAAGAACATAGTAAGAAGGAAGGAAGAGAATATACTAAAAGGATAGGAGAGGACTTGGAATAACAAAGATAAAAGAGTCCAATGAAAAGAAAGATTCAAGATTTCTCTTTTAGAATTTCAAACAACTAGAAATTTTTTTAAGACCTTTGCCATGGCTAGGTGGTGAGAAAAACTCTAATAATAAGTAAGTTTTGATCCTACAAGCACTCAAACCCCCAAGAACGGAAAAGACATAGTGACATGACAAACCTAACTAAACACAATAGATAGTTTATTGATATCTTTACCACAACTAGATAATGTGATGACAAACTTAAAATAGAGAGCAAAAGTAAAAACCAAAAACCAAATAACAAAATCTTTGGTTGCAAATGGGACCCTCCCCAAGAGGTGACAGACATTTTCAATCCTAACTTCTTGAGGCAATCAAAGAAGAGAAGGAGAATTATGCGAAAAGTTACCAAAAAGGCTATTGCTTGGGGAGTATGGGAGGAAATAAATAATAGAATTTTTGTTGGAAAATCGATCTAGAACTTTGGAAGAGGTCATTGAAAACATAAAATCGAGGGCTGCATTGTGGATAAAAATCTCAAATAATTCTCAAGTTTTCTCTGTAACTGACACCCAAAGGGCATGGAAAGGGATGACATAGTCATTTAGGGGCAAGGAAACTATAAGAGTCGAGTAGGAACCACCAGAAGTAAATAAAGTGAAACTGCATTTTGATGGAAGCTCTATGGGCAACCTAGGAGTGGCAGGAATTGGGGGAGCAATTAGAAATGAAGAATGCAATATATTGGCTCTGTATTCAGGGCCAGTTGGTATTACAAACACAACAAAGGCTGAGTTATTGGCATTATTATAGGGACTCTGATTGACAAAGCAATTGGGTTTTTGGAAGTGGAGGGGGACTCAAAAGTTGTAATCTCTTGGGCAAAATGTAATAGACATGTCTCATGGAGCCTCGAGAATATATTCAGAGAAGTAGAGAGATTAGCAAAGGATATAAATGCTGATTTTAGGTGGATCAAGAGGAGTGCAAATGAGTTAACAAATACTTCAGCCAAACAAAGGGATGCAAGGCAGCAACTATATTGGGCCTCATTGTAACTTGGGTTGTAATCCTTGGGGATGATTATTGGGTCATCAATCTGTAATTAACTCAACATATTTTAATTAATGAAACAATCTTTTTGATGATAAAAAAACTAAATAAAAAGGAAGGAAATTAAGGCCTATTCATCCCATTATCTCTACACTCTCCCTTAAGTTGAATATAAATATCAATCATGTCTAACGTGCTTATATAGTATTGTAACTTCGCCTTAGGGACACCTTTAGTCAAAACATATGCTAGTTGTTACTTTGAAACAATAAAAAGAAGACAAACTTCTCTGAATGTCACTCTTTTTCTTATGAAATACTTTACTTTAATGTGCATCCTATCATGTCGAACTGGGTTATGAGCTATCTTAATTGCTAGCATGTGGGCCATGCTGCAACCCACTTTTTTATGCTATGTCGTACTGGCCCATGGGCCTCAAAACCAAGCCGAGCACAGGGGTTGGGCTGGGCCTGGCACCACCCTGCTGGCTATAGTGGCCAGGTCGTGCCAAATTATGCTGGGACATGTTGGCCCATGGGCGGCCAGCCTAGGGGTGTCAATTGAGCTGGATTTGGTCCAATCCAGTCCAGTCCAATGTGAGTCATTTACAAATGAACCTGGTCCAATCCAGTCCAATGAATATTTTGGACTGGTTCAATTTAATGTTTGAACTGTCCAATCTGTTCAAATTCATGTTAATTTTGATTGGTTCCAACTCAAACCTGGTCCATTGACACTTGCATTCTTATCTTCTATCAATGGATTAGATATTGGCTCAATCCAATCCATTATAAATTCATTATAGGTGAATCAGATCCAATCCAATATATCTTATGGTCCATCCAAATTCAATATGTATTATTGATCCACCCAATCCGTCCAAATTGATTTTGATTTGGATGAAGTGCAACCCAAAACCGCTTCGACACCCCTAGCCCGGCCCACTTTAGCTCTACCTCTTTGTGCGACTCCATAGGTGAGTGTCATAATCAATAGGGTTGATCACAGTTCATTCACATTATCATAAAATTTACGGTGATCTTTAAATACTAGCATTATCCTCATAAGATCAAATATGTGCAATATTTTCCATGTCTGGGCACGTGTCACAGGGTACATGAAATCTGGAATCAAAGAGCGATGTTTCAATTCAAAGACAATGAATGTGCTCTCTCATTCAGATTTCAGAGTGCCCCATTATTATGTCATGTTACTCACTCATTTGCAGAAAATAACTGTGCACATTTTCTTTTGATCCAGTGAATGACAAACACATAAGGACAACGATGACAAATGCAAATATATAGGCTGCAAATACATACAAAATAATATTCCTTGTAAATTGAACCTTAGGTTGCATTTGGAAACAATATAAATGGAGTAAAATCCCGGTTCAGGGTAAATTTGCACTCTGTTTTACTTTTGCTTGTTTTTGGCAACATTACATTTATGCATTGACAAATGATAAACCAATGCATATTTACATTGATAATAAGCTGTAAAAGTACATCAATAAAAAATAAGTAAATTTGCATTCAAATGGGCTTTTGATTAAAACAAAAAAAAAAAACATATGCTTTATTGGAATTTATGTTTGTATCCATTACAACTAAAAGTCTGTTTGGTAAGAAGATAAATTTGTCAGTGCAAAACTAACATAATTTTACAATTTATATAAACTGTTTTACACTATATATTTACATTCACACTTATTTGTATCATTTCCAAACGCAGCCTTAAGGACTAAATTAATAAGAACAATTCTTGTCAAAAAAATTAATAAGAACAATTACAATCATTTACCGAGCAAAAAAGAAAAAAAAGAAAAAAACAATTACAACCATATGGAGAACGGCAACATTAAATGAGATCAGAGTAAGGACAACTCATATGTGCAGAGTAAGGGAATCAATGTGCAGACTTCCTGGCTAATGTAAAACAAAAGGGATAAGAGAATCACGGGAGAACAGGATGAGGGGCCTGCTTTGTTTTTTTTTTTTTAATGTTAATTACAGTAGCTAAGATTTTTAAAATTGGATCGGACATGGAACTGTATTGTTTTCCGAGTTTAACAGTGGAACCATCTGGTTCAACGGATGGCGCATTCTAACTTAAAAAATAAAATAATCAAAAATGATCAAAAAGTATTGTTCAGATTGATGATTTGATCGTCTGCATTAAGGATCGTTGATCAAATTAACAGTTTTTTGATAAAAAAGCGATTTTAAGGTGAAACAGAATGGATTACTTAATCGATTTCTAAGTTTTCTGATCCGGTTTTCAGAACCATGCGACAATCAACCTAACAGTGGAGACTTTTTCTAATATTTTTTTCTAGGTTGACTATAATATGGAAAGGCATGATACTGAAAAAATTTACACCAATAAAGCCATTAAGTTAGTATCATAAAATATTTATCACAATTCACGATAGGTGCTTTAATTGGTTCCCGTACCATAGATTTTCCTAATTTTTCATAGGTTCAGCCAAAACAGCAAACTAGTTAATATTCCAGGGATGTAAATATTAACAAATTGTTTTTGTCAGTGGATTGTGGAGATAGCTACAAGGTTTTTTAAAACCGGACTGAATAGGAAACCGTTCTGGATTCAGTTTCTGGGTCGAATGGTCTGACTATTCTGGTCCAAACAGACGACCCATCCTGACAAAAAACTAATAAAAATAAAAAAAAAAAAACAAAAAATGACCAAAAATTGTCTGAGTTGCTTCGACTGCCCAGGTCAGCAGTTCTTTAACCAAATCAATAAAGTCTTGATTTTTAAGGTCACCAATACGCTAATAAATAAGAGTTTGGGTATTTAAATGAAATTTACATTCAAAGATATCAAACCAAAAAATAGAAGAAAAAAACAATTGATAAAAACTTTTAATACAATAATTTTTCATATTGAGAGTATCAATACTTCGAACTTTATGGCTGTTATGACATAAAACCCTGCATAGTATGATATTGAGTTAACATTCCCCTAATTTCAACAAGAATATGAGAGCTAATAGCAGTGACATAGCTGCTTTGCCATTTTTATATATTACACAAAGGCCTCCTTCGCTTTTTGGTAAGCTACTTACCAGGTAAATGTAGTTACCCGGGTAAGTGCATTTACCCGTGTTCTTTTATTTGTCATGTAAATAAGGCAATGACCATTTTAACCATAAAAATTCATTATTAAAAAGGACATTTTTGTCCCATTCAAGTGTTGGCAACTTTCTCCCTAAGTGGGTAAATGGGTATCACTTACCGATACCTAAGAATTTAAACTTTCCCTGATCCCCACATAAATCTAAAAAAAGAACATGGGATTTTGATTCCCAATGACCAAGTTTCCCCCTTCTCAGAATCCGAAAATACAACGCACCCTAAAAGGGAAGTTTTCTTGACAAAGAATTTCATTTTTCCTAATTCATTGATTTGCTAGGGGCTTGAGCCTTTTTGAGTTTGAGATACAAATTTAGTTAATCAACAGAAATAAAGAAAAGTTTTTAGCTATCTTAAAACTAAGAAACAGAAACAAAGTAACAGGAAACTGATAGGAACACAATAACAGGAAAAGTCTTAATCAATCATCATTGGCTTCCAATCCTGGAAGAACCAAGATCTGAAAATCCATAACAACAATCATAATCAGAACTGTTAAGGATTTCATCTAAAGGCCAATTTGGTCGAATTGCTAAAGTGGGTTCATCTGATAAGCTTGCTGGGGTAGAAGCAGAGGTGGAAACACTCCTTGTTAGCGATAAGCGAACCTTCTTATTAGTTGGAAGGTCGGCAGAGGAAGCATTGGATGTGGGAGGACTCAAATGATAATTTCCCCCATTGCTGCTATTACCATTGCTGTTGATGTTGTCACTGTTGGATGAGTGCTGGAGTGCAACCTTGACACCTGTCACGAGGAACCTTTGGTGAGATGACACGTAAGGGCTCACCGTGTGGATGGACACGTCACACTGCCTACAGAGCAAGGCCCTGTCCTCTAAGCAGAAGAAATAACCAACCTTTTCCTGCAAGGAGAAGGATCAATTTGAATGACTACATGATTAAATATAATCACAATGCTTTCTACAATTTGGGTCATTAGGATGATGCATCTGAGAGGTTCTCAATTGTCATAGTGACCAACATAGAATATCGAATTGAAAAAAAAAAAAAAAAACAGACCTCATAGTAAATAGGTTCAACAAACAGGAATGTAGGAAGGTAGAGATAAAACTACAATACTTTGGCAACAAATTTCTAGAATTCAACCACTGAGTAAGTTGAAACCTTCACTATTTACAAATTCATATATGCTTCTCGCCCCCAACAGATAGCCATACGGTTTGCAAAAGAACCATAATAAAATCAAACAAAGACCACAGGTGGGTGGTCCACCAGATTTTGGTGGACTTCATAAATGAAAATCGTAGAAATATTTGAACTCTTGAAGAAAAGTAGAAAACTAGGGGAATTCTAAGACAGATGAAATTATCTAAAATCTCCCTTTGACTTCACTAACAATGTTTAAAATGCCCCCCAACTTATAGATACATCAGCTCCCCTTGTTAGGGATAGTCTGTCAAATGGAAAAAGGAAAATGTAGAATTGCAATTTATATATATATATCAACACCAATTGTAGATCTTGGTGGATCAAATGGATGGTCCTGCTTAATGTAGATCTTTGCAACTACAGGGATGATCTAGTTCAATGTATAAACTTTTTCATACCAATTGAATTTAAATATAAGAGAATTTAACAATGGTGTGACACAGAACAGGTGCTTCTCCATTGGATCTGAATTTTATCAAGGAATGTTCACATGATCAACTCCACCCAAGGCTAATAGGATTTTGGTTCTATAAACAAAAGGCCATATTACAGAAATATTTCATCTCAGTTCTCAATTATAAATTGGAAACCGACAACTTAGAAGACAGACCCAGACATAAGTCACTTAACTCTCTGATCTCTCTTATTTATGTGAAGAGGGTGATCAGACATGGAGACCGACAGAGCAAAGCTACGGATTCTCATAGGATGCTGTACCATATAAAATGGGGACCAACACTGCTGGCCCTACGTATCTTAGGGACAACATATGAAATGATGCAGCTGCTCCAACTAAATACGTCGATTGGCTCCTTGTCATCTATTAATAGGATAAATTTGTGAGTGAAAACCTGATAAAAACCAACAACTAAAGCAATAATACATCTTCCTTTCTTGTGTCAATAAAACTGATTTTGGTAAGTGTATTTATTTATGTTCTTTTATTTTTCAGATAAATAAGATAATGGCTGTTTTAATTATAAAATGCTATTATTAAAAAGGAACAATTTTTCAGGAGGATAAGAAAAATCCAAAAAAAATAAAATTTTCGTAAACTCCACATAAATCTGAAAAACGAACATAAGTATCTTAGTCAATGAAACCAAAATACTATTAACCAACTTCCATTCCTAAAAAAATCTTCTCCCACATTCTACCATTTGATTGTACAGTTAGATAGATAAATAAATAGATCCCCACGAATGTGAAGAGAGCTGGGTTGGGACTTGGGTAACCTAAAAACTTTAATCCAATTCATATTGCAACTCAGGTATGCTTCCCTGAGACAATTCCATATTGGATCGACGAGTTTGACTTTAGGCTATCTCTGAAACTGAAACAGTCGATGTGAAATGGTATTACAAATTTACAATTATTGGTCTGAGTCATTGGCCAAGCAAGAAGATCTCTACGAGGCAGGAAAATTGTCACCAAGCAATCTGGACAGCTGTGCAAATGGGTCTAGCAGGGCCAGACTTGGTTTGTCCACATTACCCCCCCACACCCCTATTGATTGCTTATGGGCCATCTTCCAGCCTGCGGCAGAGAAAAGAAAAAAACTTTGTTTAGGCGTTCACACTTTACACTCACACCAGAATGGATCAATGGAAGAAAGACTGGGAGTTCAAATATGGAACCAATTTGAATCCGTTTAGAAATCAAGGTCCAAAATGTCCCAACCCATTTCTCTGAATATGATGGCTGTCCTCATCTTTCTTTACCCATTAGGCCATTACTTATGCCGCAAACAAAGCAGAATAACAAGGAAATGAAAATGATACCCAAAAAGAATATAAGCATTTGACCCGAACCCATAACAGCCCACGAATTTAGCCCGAACCAATTTTTCTGTTCCAGGCAGCTACTAAACAGTAAACACACAATGAACAATTAAAGAGAGTTGACTAAATTCATCCTCCTCCATTGAAAACCCAACCCAGAACAGACAAGAGCTTGACGTAGCCCATGCCCAACTTGAATCCGTATCACCAGTTAACAATATACATTCCAACGCCCTTCCAACATGATCCAGCACTACACATATCTCATACATAGCGAGTCCCATCTTATGATGGGTTCCAGTCTCATGGTAAGACGCTTAGTATCAGATCATGTTGGGAGGTTTTGGAATTGACAGGTGATCTCAATTCGTCCAATTCAAACCATTCATCTTGGGCCCGAATCTGTGAATTATTCCATCACGTTCTAATATTATTTATATCCATGCACAGCCAAAAAATTGGGGTCTCCTGCCAATAAACACATTCTATCACTCTACCAACATGATTCAACATCATACCTCACCATAAAATTGGGACCCACCATAAAAGTGAGACCTGCCATGAATGAAATGTGCGATATTGGATCATATTGATAGGGTGTTGGAGAGTTCGGCTTCAGTCAGGGTAAAGCCCATTTAGACAGTTTTTATTGTCTTGCATTAAGAATATCTCCGTACTTATACTTTATTTCATGGGAAGGTATTCCTAATGCAAGATTATAAAAAACTGTCAGAATGGTGTGAATACATATTTGCCCTGATAGAAGTCGATTTCTGTGTTGGAACATGGTTTATTGGCTTATTGGCAGGAGATCTAGACACATGGCAGACATGATGGGTCTCTCATCTCTGGTAAAATGTGTGGACACAGATCATATTAATACTGTGTTGGGTGTGAGCAGATCCTAGCACCTCTCAATTGCTATTTGCAAGCACGCTGCACGGAAACAACAAGCCTACCACTTTACAGTTCATTGACCTTGAATTGATAGTTTGATACTCCAATTTCTGCATAATTGACCCCAGATAAATCCTTCAAAAACCCAAAATCCAGATCACTCAAAGTAGCCGAACCCGGTCGGACATCCACCCGTTCAGCTCAGTTTGTAAAAAGTAAAAATATAAATATGTACAGTATAAAACCTTGTATATCCCTAATTGTACACCGTACATATTTGCATTTATTCTTTTCCCAAACTGAACCTTCAGGCCACTACTGATTGATTCGACCTTCATTCTGGTCGGCACATCAATTTCGATTTTTATTCTTTTTAATTAATTAATTAATTCCTTTTCAATAAGAATACAGTTTCACGTGTGTATATTGTATAATACTATTTTTGTTACAGTTATTGGAACAAAGATTACACCCATGTGCACATTAGCATATAAATAATAAATAGCAAATAACAAATCAAATGGTGAGATCATAGAGAAAGAGAAAGAGAAAGAAGGGAATACCAGGCTATCAGTACCAGTCATTAGAGGTAATAGAGTAATTATGATAAAATTAAGGATAAAAGAGTAATTGTGCACCCATTGTTATTATTAATTATTAGTTATTGAAGAAAGTATATAGAAACAAAAGATACATACCTGGCAGATATCGCAGGAAGGAACGTGAGACGAAGGGTTGAGGAGCGGGAGGCGCTGGTGTTTTCCGGCGAGTTTATTGGCCGCGTGCACCTTCTCGTCGCATCCCCAGCACAGCGCCGCCTCGTCCGCGCAACATAGAACCGCCGCCTCCACCTTCTCGCACACATCGCACTGTATCTTCATCTCTAATTCTCTATCTCCAGCTGCACTTATAGTTCTCCTCCCGCTGGATTTTCTTCTCAATTTGATTCACCTCACTGCTGCATTTCTCTCCCTCTCTCACTCTCTCTGGGATTCGGAATCTATGGACTATGGCCGGGAGCTGTATCCGCCGCTTTCACAACTCTGCCTCACTCACTCTCTTTATCCAACGAGTTCAATTACAGATACACGCATTCGTCGCTCGAACTCGATCGATCACTCGGCTTCAGCTTCTTCTGCCTGAAGAGGCAATGAGAAGAGGAGGAAATCTTATAAGATTATTATTATATATATACAGAAGAAGAAGAAGAAGAAGAAGAAGAAGAAGAAGAAGAAGGGATAGAAAAGTTTAGAGAGAGAGAGAGAATTCAAAGGCGGCAAATTAAGAAAAAGTATAAAAGGGAAAAAGAGATATTTTGTTGGTAACCAATAACTAACCCCAGGTTGACAAGATATTTTGCTAAAAAAATAGATATTAGTAAATTGAAATGACAATAATACCCATGAATTAGGTTCATTATTATGGAAAAACAATATGTAGGGAAGGAAAAGCGTAGGAGTATTTTGGAAAATTAGAGATGCAGAAAATATCCGTAAAAACGGGTTTACGTAAACGGGAATCTGGCCATTCAAATACACCGTGAGGGAAGGGCTTTTGCGCTTGCCCATAACGTGGTCCCCAGTCCCACGATCAAACGATATGAACGACCAGCTCATCGGCTGACACGTGGCATAAAAGTTCAAGAACAACATAGCAGCTGACTGTGCCAGCTATAAAAGGACGGCACCCCATTTTAATGCCTTGCCGTGACTGACTTCATTCACAAGCCAACCATACTCCCGAGGGGTCTCATCTTTGTGTAAGCAACCCCTCTAGTCCGTCGGATTGGGATCTAGCAAATGCACCCTTTGTCTTGATTTCATGGATACCACTCCAGTGGTTGAATTTGCAATCGGGGAAAAAAAGGGTGACCCGTGAAATGACCCGATTAAGTGTCATCATCCATCTGGCAACTACCACTACACGTTCGGATCCGGATGGTGGGATGTGAAATAGTCGGGTTTAAACAATAATGAATGAATGTGAGTGTGACCTATCAACCATAGTTCCTTTACATGGGGGGTTCCATGTATGAGTCAGACGGTATTCATTTGGGTCGGTGAGAATGAGGTGAATGAAAGACCCACCAAAAACTCCTTTTTTTTTTTTTTTCCTTTTTTCCTCATGGGTATGATCACATGGTTATCTATGATGATCCTTTTCCTTGCTAGGGTTCCTGGGCTTTTGATACGTGTACATTCCTTTTTAGGTGATGTTGATTGTGGGGCCTTATTTTCTGTACATGAGACACGTGATCAGTTATGGAGTGGATTGGGACCTTTTGATGGGTCTTCATCACTAGGTTCAACCTGTTAAACCCTAGGCTCTGCCCCTCTGGTTACTTTTATCCCGTTTCAGACTTTTTTTCACCTCTCTCTCTCACTCACACACATTTCAAACTTGCCACATGGCTATCTTACGTGCCATTTGCATCCAACATCACTCAATGTTGGACCTGATTATCTTACAGACTTTTAAATCAAATACAACCTTAATTTGGTGAAGTTTTTCTTTTAATAATTTTAGCCAGAGTATGAACTATGAAAATAAAATTATAAAAGTAACTTTACTTTGACTAATATTATAGAATTTCACAAGTTAAAGTTTTGGCATTTAGATTTTGAAAATTAATTACTTGTTTCAAATACTATGTAGAGTTTTTTTTTTTCCATTTTGTGGAATATTTTACTTAATCTAATTTATTAATTTCATTAATAAAAGTTTCTTTGCAAATGTACTGAAAGAATTGAAGCATTTTTTGTTTTAATTAACTAAAATAAATAAAGAGTATTTTCTCCCATTTGAAATTACCAAAACTTCAGTATTTAATAACCCACCATGTCATAAGAAAAATGATATTACATTCATTATTGAGACTAGTGCAATTATTGATTTACATCAGAGTTCATGCTCACGTACACTAATAATTAATTAGATAAGAGAAATTATTCTATAGGTAGGAAAGCACCACAACATAATGGGAAGTGATGTAATAAATTATGTTAATCTTCTTACTAAATAATTACATAAAAGCAGTCATATACTCGTATTCATACACACATATACATGGAATTCAAATCAGCCCCTCACAAAATTGTCCATCACAACGTTCCACAGCACATTTTCATCGTGTATTGGGAATATTTCCCGATGATGACATCATTATTTTTAGTATTGTCATTGGGAGATGTTCTCAATATAGAGTGGAAATATACTGTAGAACGTTGTAAAGACAATCTTATGGAGGGCTGATTTGGTATATGTTTGATTCTGTTTATGTTCATTGAGTAAACATTTATTGACGGTGCCACATAGGCACCCCATAAGCAAATGCCTTATTAATTGCATTTATATCTTCGATTTATGTATGCCTCTCCCGTTTCAGGAAGCTTCATTTTGAAACTTCTTGAAACGGGTAAACGTTTATTGGCATTTTGCCGATGTAGTGCCTAATGGTGCTTTTGTATCATAAACACCCTTATTAAATGTATTTTTCGGTTTTGCAGTCACACAAGTATAAAACGTTTACTGAATAAATGTAAACGGAACCAAACACCCTCTTGATCATATATACATACTGCATTATATTATTAAAACAAAAAAAAAATCACTAAAAAAGAGATCAAAATTGTAGCTGAAACATTTCAATTTAAAAAAGAATAAAAAATAGATTCATCTTACAAAGAAACAAATATAACCTTTTGTGTTATCCTTTGAAATCAGGGAACCTTTCCATACAATGACAATGACCTTAATGAAAAGGAGTTGCAGCTGTTATATTGTTCAGACTTCAGCTGAATAAGATTGCCCTAAATGTCAACAATATTGGTTGGACTGTTACTTGTTGATCAAACAAAGAATAACAAAATATATGATGAAATAGTTCTATTCCGGTAGATATTTTTAAGATTATAAGTTGGAAATTTGACTTCATTCATATAAAACCTCATTTTTATTATATATATTATAGAAGCATGCAATTGTCTTTTATTCTGACATATCGCAATTTATATATATATAAGAAATTTAGTGCTTTATTACAAAAAGAAAAAGGAACACAATTGTAAGTATGGAGAAATGATTAAAACAAATAAAAGAAAATTACTCAAACTTCTTTACACTTGAAAATTTTAAAAAGGTTTATACATCCCCCATGAGAGGCTTTCTATTAAAACACGCACACAAAAAAAAGAATAATCAGAATTGGAATGATCGATTTCTTAGTCTGTTTGGTTCAGACAGGAATCAAAACCCGAATTAGAATAAATTGGAATGGAATTTCACTCGCAAGGGAGAGAGAGGAAATGAACATTCCAACAGGAATGGGACAAATAGTTGAAATCTGACCTGGCTATAGCTTTTCATAAACATGAATTATACATAAGATCAACAACCTTCCATAACCATTTTTCTTAATAAAAATGGGCTTTTCTTTGAAGAAAATATTTGTACAATTGTATTGTCATCTAGAAATGGTCACATCATGACCTCCTTAAACAAGTGGAAAATGTTGAGAGGCACTTCATATCAAGCTTTTAGAAAGATATTTGATTTCCAGATCTATGGGATAACTACGTTTGGATTCAGTAGGATGAAGAAAAAGAATAGAATGACATCCAGGTTCATCGTCTACAACACTCTATCTTCCTTTTCTTCTGATAGAGAAAAAATTGACCAAATGGAGTGGTTGGTTGCGTTTTACTAAGGGAAACAATGACATTTACATTTTTTATGTAAATTAAATTTGTTTGAATGGATGATAAGGTCTAAATGTCACTTCCATCAAATGAAAGGATCCAGGGAAATTCAAAATATGACAATCCAGTACTTTTAGTGCTACTTTGGTCATCGAGCTTTAAAATGCGATAATTTAATACCTGAACTTTCAAAATATGACAATCCAGTACCTGCTGTTAATTAACCGTTAAGTGGCATTTGAGAAAGACACAAATGCCCTTCGAGTGTCATTTAATTTTTTTTATCAACCATTCAAACATTGACAAAAAGATTAACAGTCTCAAATCCTTGCCTCTTCTATTCAAGAAAGTTGGGGTCACCAGAATGCCCACTCAAACGTGACCTCAACTTTCTTGAATTTGTCAATATTTTGATGGTTGATAAAGAAAATTAGATAACACTCAAAGGGCATTTGTGTCTTTTTCGAGTGCCACTTAATGACTGGTTAATAGCTAATTAACGACAGGTACTTGATTGTCATGTTTTAAAAGTTTAGGTACTGAACTGTTGCATTTTAAAGCTCGGGGACCAAAGTGGCAATAGGCCCAAAATACATGATACTAATTGAGAATTTTTCCTTAAATAAGTTGGTTGGAAACTATAGGATTGTTTTAATAAAATACAAATTATGGGATAGGTAATTCATAAAACTATAGGGGCCGTTTTAATAAATGAACCAAAAATGATTTAAGTACCCAAAATTTAACAACGATATGGAATTAAACTGAAAAAAATGTATAAAGAGGATTCATGTATGGACCCATATAGTTGGGATAAGGCTTTGGATGATAATGATGATGATGATCTCTATACCTCACTCTATGCTGGCTTTTTGTTCTTTTTTTGCTTATGAAATCAATCTCCGCCTATAATGGCTCTAAATTTCCTTATAGTGTCCACAATGGACAAAGACAAAGGCATGTTTGGTCTCAACAAAATCTGAATTTCAACAATAGTTTACTAATGATTTATGAAAGTTTCTAAAAGCAATGAGATAGCATTCATTTTACCAATATCTGATGCATACACCCCATCAGAAAAGGGGTATGTTGTTCCAAGCAAACATATGTGGAAATGAATGTCTAAGCCCAACTCTGAAAGGTAGGGGAAGTTTCAGCTGGTTTCAAAAAGTTCAAAAGAAATTAAGTGATTCTCACTAAAACAATTAATGGGTCTGATTTCTTGCCCGAAATCGATGACGACAGATTTAAATGGTGGGACCTTGTTCTCTATGCATGAAACATTGATGAAAATTGAGGTTGTAAACCATTTTAGTGGATTCCACAAATGGGCTAAAGACCTCATGCCAATCACATAAGGCTGGTGCTAGCTGTATGCTAAGAAATTGGGAGAAAATGATGAAAAAGTAAAGGGAAAATATTGTGAAGATGTTGAGGTTGTCATTCATTTCTGTCAGAGTGGCCTGCCCACCAACATATATAGTGGTGTGGTCA